TACAGTAGTATGGACCCTGAGAATGCTCAGGCATTGCTTCTCACCCGAGGATTGTTTCCCCGTCCAGGCGACCGCTGGCCGCGCCCCGACACGACGGGGAAGGCGCGCTGGCAGTGGGACGAGAATGAGGGGCAGCAGGAGGAGGAGCACATGATCAAGGGGGGGTGTTCATGGACGGCAGCTGCTGGTATCCCAGAATTAAGTCGGGCAGGCTGGGGGGGGTCCATTTTCAGTGATAATCAGAAACTCCTCGGGTGAGTTTTTGGCGCGGTTTCATGGGGCCCTGAACCAGACGACCCAGGCGGGCGAGTTTTCGGCCTACGGACGTTCGGGCCGGATCTTAGATCTTCGAAGGGGAAGCCACCCTGTATTCAGATTGCCAGAACGTGTGTGTTCAGGCTCGGAAAACCTTGGGTGGAAAGGTGTCGTACCAGCGACCGTACGCTGAGCCCTTCAGTTTCGCTATTCGTGTGCGGCAGTGGATCAGATTTGCTCATCAAGTCAAAGCGCACCTTTCTCTGGAGGAGGAGGGTGCGCCAGATAGCGAGATATGCCTGTGCAGGGGAACTGTCCAAGCTGGTCAGGCTGCCAAGGCTGCATCTCGCCTCCACGATTCTACTGCTCAGAACATGGTCAAAGCCCTGCATAAGACGAGGCTGGTGGCGCGCACTGCCTGTAAGCTTGCCGCAGCGTTGCCCTTTGAATGGCCGACGCTCGACCTCAGCGGACTGGAGCTCTGTCCTCCTGCCCGACCGAAACCGGGCAGGAAAAAGTGCCGCCAGCACGAGTGGAGCTTCACTTGTGGGCTTTGGCGAGGTAATATGCGCATGAAAACCCCTCGGCCGAATGTCTGACCCCGGGTCTCGGGATGTCCTGGCGATTTGTGTGTGCGGCTTTTGGGGGGATGGGGCGTCCTTGCCACTTTGTGGTCGGTCTGCCGTGTTCTGACGGCGGGATGCTCTTTGCCTCTGCGCATTGTGCTTCTCACGTTGGGTCGGGCTCAGTAAAAAAAAGTCCAATATGATGCGCAGGTGCGAGAATTCCATGAAAGACCATACAGAAAAAAAGACACATATGTGGATCCGAGCGGCCATTGCCCCAAGCACGGCCCCTCCATAAAAAGTGGACGCGGAACGGGTGATGAATCTTCAAATCAGCATTCAACCGGTCAAACATCCAGGTTAGGGTTGTTGTTGCCGATGTTGGAAAACAGATTCCTCCTCCTCCTCTTCTTCCTTCTCCTCCTCCTCCTCCTCCTCCTCCTCCTCTTCCTCCTCCTCCTCCTCCTCCTCCTCCCTCGTCCCCCTCAGGCGTTGCCCCTGGTCGGCACGCCCTCCCTCCAGGGGTTCGGGCATGCACTGGCGCCTGCGGAACTCGCACGCGGCACGGCGCCGAGGGCCGCTGGGCGCCGGCACCGGGGCGGCATCTCTGTGACCTTTTGCGGGGGCTTCGCGGGGCTTAGGGCAACGTTGATCACCGAGCGCGTTCCACTACTCGGCAAGTTACTATTCGCAAACGTCCAGGAAATCCATGTTGGCTTCGATGCAACGGATCGTAAATCCCCTGCGGTGGATCCAGACTATTTGCGAGTAGTTACTTTGCGAGTAGTGGAGCGCGCTTGTCGAGTTCAAGGGGGATAGGCCCGGGGGGGGTACATCGAGCCCCAATCGCCCATTCATCGCTAAGGAACGTAGAAGGGAGTCGCTATCGGGGTAAGGTGAAGGTCTACAGGACTCGCTATCGGGGGGCAGTGGCAGGGGGGGCTTTTGGGATTTGCAATGGTATCTGTCATCCCTCCTCCCGTCCTTCGCCTCCCCTTGCGAATTCGCTATCGAGGGCACATCACCAATCATCCATCGGCGAGGTGTTGCCGATCCCAGGATGATGTTTCCCCCCGGAGCCGGTCCCTCCCAAAAGTTGCCCCTCAAGCAAAGACGTTGGCGACGCGCATTCCCAGCAACATCATGAGCGTCGTGGCCGGCTTTGAGGGAATGCGTACAAGCCCAATTGCCCACATCCCCCCTCAAAAAGTTGCCCAACAAGCAAAGAGACTGGCGACGTGCGTTCCCAGCGGCATCGTCAAAATCGGGGCTGAACTTGGGGGAGTGCGTACAAATCAGGTTGCCTACATCTGCTTTTTGAGCACCAAGTTTGAACGTGTTGAGGATATGCGACAGCTCCCCTTGGTTTAAAACCAGACTCATAGACCTCAACGTCACACACAACGAACGCGGTGGCGATTCCTTGGCGCACCTCGAAGTCGCAAGACCAGAAGTTGCGTGAGTGTCATACTTAGCCAACTTCAACATATCACCAGCATGCCCTTCAGAGCCCGTTTCATCTTCCCGAATCCAGCAGTCGCAGTATCATAAACAATGAATGGCTCAATGCCTGGAACATGACGAGGTACTCGAGCGCACGAGTCACGTGGGTCGCACCACTAGACGACCACGTGGCAACGGGGGAGATTTGCGGAAGAATGCCGACGCCGTCGTCTTCGCCGTGGGAGTTCTCCGGAAGAATACCGACGCCGTCTCCTGAGGTCCGACGTCTCAAAAAAATGTAACATCGGTAAAGATCACCACCGGAGCCCAGGGCCGAACCTTTTTGCCCCACTTCCCGAGCCGGATCGATCTGTGAGGGTCCCCTGGGGCCCGCAGCTGGACAAGAACGCCCGTCGTACAGAAATGTCAGCGCCAGGGTCTCAGTGGACGCCGTCGTCGTCTTCGCCATCCTCTTCGTCGTCCCCCTCCGAGCTACGATTAAGTCGGGCCCGTCCCTCTGCAGGAGGAATTTTCAAGAATCGTCAAACAAATAGTCAGAGGACGATGTTTTTGAATATTTTCGGGGCAGTGTTGGACCATTTTTTGCATATTTTCAATTTTTCTTCCCAAATCCCCCTGTGCAGTCCGTGCGCTGCAGAAGGAACCCCTTTTCGTTTGGGAGGGGCTCAGTGCTCCTCCTACGTTTGGCTAAGAGAGGCCACGTTTCTCATGTTGGGTTCCCTGGGTCAGCGCCCCCACTGCAGGAGGACTGCGGACCGTTCTGGCTCGTCTGAGCCTCGAGCCCTCGACCCCCCAGCGCCGCAGACACGTTGGCGGGCTGGGGGCTGCAGAGGTGTGGGCCCCTTGGAGAGCCGCGGGTGGGGCCGGCGAACTGGACGAGGGGCAGCCTCGGGAGCCTTCCCAGACATGACCGCGTCGTACAAACATCAGGACGGGAGGTTGTGGGCCCATGTCGGCCCCGGGGGGCCCTCGCCCGGCCCCGGGACCGTCAACAAAACGACTCTGGCCCAAAAACCGGTCCCGGGGCAAGGGTCTGGACCTCCAGGGACGCCGCCCTGAAAAAATCAGGGCGTCGCATGTTGGGGTTGAGACGGGGGCCAATGCAAACGGGGGTCAGCCAGAGCGCCCGATCCTGCAGGATCCTGCAGAACCAGGGTCGCACTGACCTGGGCTTGAGCGCAGGATCCTGCAGGATCTTGCAGGGTCCTTCGCACTGACCCGGGCTTGGGCGCAGGATCTTGCATTTTTGACAGACGACACGAGGGGGAGCAAAAAGACAGGCGTCTTCGCCATCCTCTTCGTCGCCTCCCCTCCTCCTCCGCCGGGGCGCCCCCGCGGCGTTGTCTGACGGCCGCCTGGCCGGGAGGCCAGCGGCCCTTCTGGGGCCCGGCGCCCGGTCGGTCAGGGAGTGTTCCGGCCGATGCCCCCAGAGGAAGTGGAGGATATTTGGGACGTCAAGCAGGCGATCGCAAGCATGGATCAAGGGGGCGTGGATTAAGTAGCGACGGGTCCCGTTGGGAAATCGCTGATTTCCGCCGCCGAGCGAGGCGGCACCTGCCGCACTTTGGGGAGGGCACTTCCCCCGATCCATGGATTTGGCGACCGCGCGCCAAATCCAAGGATCGTTAATCCATGTTTGCTCGCCGCCGAGTCAATCGGGGGTTCGTAGAGGGGGGGTTATCCCAAGGCGGGGTTAGAGAACGAACCCGGCTGGATGCTCGCAGCTCTTTCTTCCAGGGGCCACTGGGAGCGGCCTTCCCCCCAACGTCACCTCTGCTCCTACCCACCTACACGTCCTCCCGAGTGAACTGTGGGCACTGGTCCCTGAGATCCCGGAGTTGCATTTTTCTACAGCGGGCGATGTTTGGCCCAGCTGCAGGCCCTGGGACCCTTACACATCGATCCAGCTCGACAAATTGCGCAGAAATACCGGACCCGAAGCCTGGCGAGGGCCCCTAGGGGTCGAAGCCAGCAAAAAATGTCCCGTCCTGATTTTTTGTTCGACGCGATCATGTCTGGGAAGGTACCCCTTGCCCAAGGTGTCCACAGCTTGTCGCTCAATTTTGAAGGGCCTAGGGCGGCGCTCTGGGCCTCGTGAGGGGTGCTCTGGAGGCCTTGAGGGCTTCCCTGGGAATCCCAGGGGGACAGCTTGGGCCAGGGGCACTTCTAGCATTGAGTCGGGCATGTTCCTCCACGGGGGGAATATTCAAAAATCGTAAAAAGAATGTCGAGGGACGATTCTCTGGTACTTTTTGGCCATGTTGGAGCATTTGTATGGTATGTTCTCATGTTTGGACAAAAATCCCGCTGTAGGAGGACATGCCCGACCTAATTCTAGCATTGACTGAGTCGGGCATGTCCCTCTACGGGGGGAATAATTTCAAAAATAGTCAGGAAATTGTCATTGGGACGATTGTTCGATTATTGCGGAATATGTTTGATCATGTTTTGACTATTTTCTATGTTCTTTCCAAAATCCGCCTGTAGGAGGACATGTCCGACCTAGTTCCAGCAGCACCCGAACCAGGGGGTGGGGTGGTCTGGAACGGCCAGATTACCAGCCGGCAGCCTCGCAGCAGAATAATACGCACTCTGGCATTCCAGGAGGCCAGCGAAGTGCAGAGGGGGAAGCGCTGCCCAAGAAGCTCCTGACCTCACAGTGAGCTGCCTGCCGAAGTAAGCGCCCCGCTGTTCCGCGCCGACGCCACCCCAGAGGAGCCGGACGAGGTCCTGATCTACAACAAGCGACTGCCCCGCCCCCCCCCGCCCCCGGGCCAGGCTGCGATCCGTCCCTTCGGCAGCAGCAGTGGCGGCGGCGAGACAGCGGGAGTGTGTCGGGATACGAGTCGGAGGAGGATTACATAGTTGATGTACCCCGCCATTGATCTGCGTCGAATGTACGAGACTCTGTAAACAATCAGTAGGTATACGGAGCATTCTACGCTGCTGCTTCGTAGATTTGACGAGGTATCACTTTTGAAGTACATGTAGTCGATATGTAGTCGATCCTCAATTACACCGATATGCAGTCGATCCTCAAGTAAATGCCGTCGATCTGTAGTCATTCAGTTTTGAAAATATATGAAGTTGAGTTGAATTCAATATGTAGTTGATCCCCTACTCGAGGGGTGCGGGGAGCAGGGCGGAGTAGCGGGGGCCCTGTGCGTGAGCCATTGTCTCTCGTGCCCCCCTTTGGCACGGAGCGCTCACGGGACATACAGGGCCGGTGGCAGGGGCCATCCTTCGGTTGAGTCGGGCATGTCTCTCTACAGGGGGAATATTCAAAAATAGTTAAAACATTGTCTGGGGACGACTTTTCGATGTTTCAAACTATGTTTAAGCATTTTGGGATGTTTGTTCCTTCCATAATCTGCCTATAAGAGGACATGCCCGACCTAACCCTTCGGATCAGTTCACCAAGCCGTGCAGGAGAGGATCGATCGGAAGGGGGCCGTAGACAGCAGGGCTGGACTAAACGCTGTTTTGCTGGACTTCGGCGGTGTGTTGCTTTTCGTTTGGGGAGGAGGTACAGGGAATCAGGTAGAGCAAAACGAAACACGATACGAACACAACACGAAAAAAACGTTTATGTCCAGCCCTGGTAGACAGTGGCGTTGCCAAGATTCATTGTGGGGAGCAGCAGCAGAAGCAGGCGGAGGAGACACGGGCAGAGTACGAGGCAGAGTGCGAAGCCCACGGTGAGCTATTGTTCGATGATGTCGATCTGAGGGACCTGGTACGACAAGACAGATATGCCATGGAAAAGTATCTCAGGAAATGCAAGAAGCGACGGGCTTGGCCAAGCTGGGGGCTTCCCAGCGAGGCATCACTACTGCTACTTGCGCCGACAGTGTACATGGAACAGCCACACAAACGGTCTGAAGCAATGGCAAAAGCGGCTCACGACAGGGCGGAGCAAGAGGAGGACGAGGAGGATTTGCTGAGGCAGACGGAGGTGAGGAGGATGGAGAAAGGAAGGAGACTGCTGGAGAAGATGGGATGGAAGAGTGGCGAGGGCCTAGGCAGGAGGCAGAGGGAGGAGGGGCAGGCACCACAGGAGATTATAGAAGATGAGCACTGGGTGTTTGGACGTGCGAAGGGGGCTGGAATAGGGAGCCAGAGATTCACGAGCGGTCAAGCGGCACCATTCTTTCAGACACAACTGGACAAGTGGTTTGTGCTTGTGAGACGTGCGCAGTGTATGCCGCTGGACACGCTACGGGCCCAGAGTTTTTCGTCCAGCAAAAACAATGGCAAAGAAGGAATTGCAGGACAACGACTGATGCACAACTACTGCTCGTGGGGTCTGGCGTGGCACGCTGGAATCCATGAAAGGGCGCTCGAGGTTGAAAGGCCAGACTGGGCCCACGGTGGCCTAAAGCACAGGTCGCGTGAGAGTGCACTGGTCACATTACAATCAGCTCAGTGGAGGTGCAGGCAAGTACAAATACCATATGTGACGACCAATTTCGACTGCACAAATGCATTCGCCAGTACACGGAGAGACGTTCTGGAGGCCACGGTTGCACGACAGTCAGCAGAAAGTGATGAAATGTTTGCACTGGGGGCAGTCCAGCACCAAGCCATGAGCATCGCAGGGAGCAATGGGAGGGCAGACATGATCAGTACGACGGGCGCGCAGATGGGCTTCTGCTTAGCCCCTAGGGACTTCGACGATTGCTACAATCCTGTTATCGCCGCGTGGCTTGCAGAAGACCCAAACGATGCAAACAGGCTGCTGAAGGCTCTCTGCCCGGTGACGAAGAGGTATTCGAATCTGTCGATATGCACGTTCATGGATGATGTGACGAAACTGTCTATGTGGGAGGGTGGGGTTACTAGCTACGGTATTGCTGCAGAGCTCAATCTTATGACGAAGAGGTTGGAGGAAAAATTGCTGGAGGGAGGGGGCTGGCACCTCAATCCATCAAAGACAGGACACATGTTAAGCATCATGGGCGAAGGGTGGCAGGGCATTACGAGAAAGCTCAGAAGCAAAAACAACGGAGTGATGGGGGAGACGGGACGAGAGCTTCGGGTGCTAGGACCACATCTACACACGACGGGCAATCTAGGAGGAGAGATTAGGAGGAGGATCGCCGCTGCTAGGAAGGCGTGGAGGATTGCAGGAGTGTTCTGGAAATCCGAGACTCCCAGGGAAGTACGCAGAATGATGTTCATCGCCTTCGTGCAAGGGGCGGCATTGAGCGGACTTGTTAGTATGGTGCTCGAACCTCGTCTGACTGATGCGATCGACACGGCTTTGTGCAAAATGCTGAGGTGCCTGGCGCAGGGGAAGTGTTCGTGGCAAGAGCAGGACGGAAACGTGCGACAACTAAGAAAAGAGGAGGTGTTTAGGAAGTGGAAGATAAACCGTGCTTCGGACGAGCTGAGGATTCGAAGGCTTAAATGGTACCAGAAGTGGGCGGCGTTTCCCGAGGCGCACTCGCAGGTGACGGCGGCAGTGTTCGGGTCGACGCCCCTGGACCTGAGGCACGGCACACCTAGGCTAGAGGAGGGGAGGATTAGCACCTACAGTACGCCGTGGGCGTACCAGTACTTGCAGGACCTTCAGTATTTGCGTCAACAGTGTGAAGACATGAGTTGGTACGACGACAGGGAATCTGACATATCTATACTGCAGTGGGGGACTGAGGACCACCGGTGCTGGCTGTGCACTGATGTGGACATACTACGTATGAACATGAAGGTACACAATATCTGCACTGCGGATCTACAGGAGGAGGAGCTGGAGGAGGAGAAGCAGTACGTATGTGAGGAGGTGGTGAAGGGGGACGACGGGGAGGAGCACGTATGTGGGAAACGGTACAAAACTTACAGCGGTCTTACAACACACAAAACGTGCCAGCACGGACAGAGGGCGTTGTTGAGTCTGCTGACGGTAACAAATCAATGCCCGTGGTGCCGAAGCACTTTCTCCAACAGAGACGTGGCCGTCCAACATGTGTACTCGGCGTGTGAAGACAGGAAGGTATGTTTCGTCAACTTCAGCCCGTGGAAGCACGATGTGGTGCAACCTAAGAGTCTGGAGTGCCCCGTATGTTACATTCAGGCTCAAAGCTTGGAAGCGCTGCAGGCCCATGTTACCACTCACCACCCTGGGCCTGATCGGGCTCGCTTCACTCGTGACGCAGAAGACAGAGGATGCGATGGCGTGGAGAGTGACGGGGGCCCACGCCGCAGAGGGAGGAGTACCAGGCGCTGGGACCTCAGCAGGCTCGCGAGGGCCTCAGCCCGCGCCCGCGCACCCAGCCGCCCAAGGCGCTCAGGCGGGAGGGGCGGCGCTCGGCAAAGGAGGCAAGATTCACCCACCAGCGCCCAAGTACCAGCGCCTGGGCGGGGGCAAGCGCGGCGGGGGCTCGGACGAGGTCGACCTGGTGGACGCGATGGTGTCGCTCCAGAAGATGGGGCTGAGGCAGGACCAGCGCGCCCGAGAGCACGAACACATGTTGTCCCTGTTCTACATGATGACCAAGAAGAGCAAGATCTGCCAGATGGGCCTCGAGGCGGGCCTCGACCACTACGCGGCGGTGGCGAAGAGGGGCAAGGGCCACGGATTGGGGGCGCCTTACCTGCACGTGGCCGCGGGAGCGTTCGACGGGCTGGTAGAGGACGCACAGGAGGGCCAGCACAAGGCGGTGCTCCAAGCGTACCAGAGGCTGTTCCACACGGAGAAGGGCATGAAGTTCGTGAAGGAGGTTTTCGGCAGTTTCAGAGTGAAGGAGGCGTACAACGAGGAGGGAACGGCGGAGAAGGACGTCAAGGTGAAGGTGAGCTTCAACCTCAATCCCCTGGCAGACGTGGCGATGCTCATAGAGTGCCTGAAGGTGAAGACGGAGGGCGACGTACCGAGCCTGGGAATCTTGAGGAGGGCGATGATGCTGGCCCTCGAGGAGGCGGGCGGAGTGCAGTCGGACGGGCCCGCGCCAAAGGACGAGCTGACCAGGGTGGTGGAGCGACAAATGCAAGGGCTGCAGAGGATGCGCGGCTGAGCGGCGCGACGGCCCTGACCATCGTGCAGCTCGAGCGGCTGAGGAGGATGGCGGCAGCTGGCAGTGTCCGTGCACGGCAGTTGCTGGAGACAGCAGAGCGGCAGAGAGAGAGGCGTTAGGGGGAGGCTGCGCCCAGAGGAGGCAGGCCACCCCCACCATCGACACGAGGCGAGAGTTCCCCCGTGCCGACGCGGCACCGCTTCGACGTCTTGTGGGCGCCAGGCGGCCGCCGCAGGTCCGCTCCGACGGCAGGAAGTGTCGCCAAGCGGGGCCAGTCCATATCATTCGCAGGGGGCAGGAGCAAGATGCTGATGTGAGGCGTGCTGGCCCGCGGAGGCGAGGGAGACACGCCCCCCAAGCGCATATCATATCATATCATATCCTCCCTCCCTCTTCCTCCTCCTCCTCCTCCTCCTCCTCCTCCTCCTCCTCCTCCTCCTCCTCCTCCTCCTCCTCCTCCTCCTCCTCCTCCCCCTCGCCCTCCCACTCCTCCTCCTCCCCCTCCTCGCCCTCCCCCTCATCCTCCTCGCCCTCCCCCTCCTCCTCATCCTCCTCCTCCTCCTCCTCCTCCTCCTCCGCCATCCCCTCTTTGCAGCACCCCGGCGTGTGCAGCATCGCGTGGACAGCAGATGGAACGGTCGGCCTCGGAGGAGCATCAGCAGCAAGACGAGAGGAGAGGAAGGACGAGGAGAGGGGAGGGAGGGAGCAGAAGGGTGAGAGGGGCTTTAGAGGAGGAGGCGGAGGCAGATGAGGAAGGGGAGAAAGGGAACGAGGGTGAGGAGCAGCAGGAGGAGAAGGAGTGCGAAGGGGGACAGTGATGATCGGAAAGGGAAAGGGGGGGAGGGGTAAGGAGGACGAGTGTTGGCACAGTTGCTGTCTCTTTGGCATAGGAACCCCGCCGCAGCAAGCGCAAACACCATAACTACCACTACAACCACCATCACTACCGCTAACACTGTCAATGCCAGCACTACCATCACTAACACTACTAGTTAGTATGATTTGTCGTTTTGAACTAGCCCCACGCGCACGGGTCCCGCTATTACTTTCACTACCGTACCAACCTACCGACCTTATTGTCTACTTGTCGTCCTGCCATTGCCACCGCCGATGCGACTAGGAATCTCTATACGAGTATCACGAACGTTGTCATCAACCTCCCCCACCGCTGCTGACACTGCGCATTCTCAGAGGAGGATGAGCTGTGATGATAGCGGTGGCTGACTTCGATTCGACGGGATTTCGATCTCGATTTTGATCCAGCTACCAGGTCCGATGTTGGCCCTCCCCGCTTCCGCCTTCCAGCATGCCGCAGATCATCGTTATTGTCTTCGGCTCTTGCTCGTCTTCGTCGCCGTCCTCGCCCTGCCCCTTCGGCCTTCCCTCCCTCTCTCTAGACGTCGCCCGCCTCGCCACGTTCTTCATCGCCTTCCCCCACCTGCTCCTCCCGTGCCTCCTCCCTCTCTCCTCCACCGCCACCGTCGTCGTCGTTGGCGTCGCCGTGTCGCGCCGCGTTCGTCCGTCGTCGTGCCCGCTTGTTGCCGTCGTTCGGTCGTCTTCGGCGCAGCCGTCGTCGGCGTGCGTTCCTCTCTCGCCTGACCTCGTGCTGCCGACAGGAGTCCAAGAAGCGTCCACCGCCCTCCTGACGCAAACGCCCCAGTGCTCGCTTCGATTCCTCCGATTCGATTCGGTCCGACTTCGATGGCTCCCGATTCCGATTCGATTCGACTTGGGAGTCCGATTCGGGCTCCGATTTCTCGTTGGGGGCATATTCGCATGCCGACGTCCGCCGATTCGTCTTTTCCCGACATGACTGCCGGTTGCCGCCGATCCGAGTCGCGTCGATCGCCGATCCGATGTGCCGATTCGAGTCTGGGCTCTTCCTGCGCGCCCGTCAGTGCACTGGCACGCCAGAATCACAAGTACGAGGGCCTGAAGAAGAGGCACTTCCTGAGGAGGCGCCCTTCTCCGAGCCGCCGCCGCCCTCTGCCCCTGGGACTCGGGAGGAGGAGGAGGAGGAGGAGGAGGAGGAGGAGGAGGAGGAGGAGGAGGAGGGTGAGGAGGGTGAGGAGGGAGGAGGACCAGAGTAAAGCCAAGGTGCATCGACGATGCTGCGTTACACCCTCCCGTCCGAAGTCCCTCATCAAAGGTCCTTACAAGCGTGCTCCTTCAGTGACAGAGGCGCCCCCCTGAACGACCAGAACCTTCAGGGCCTTCCATTCTGGCGAAGGCCCCTCTTTTGAAAAGGATTTATTTTGCATCCGTCTCGCGAATAGGCATGAATGCGATTACTGATGAGGAGTGTGAATGCTAATGAGGAGTGGTGCTGGGTCCAGCTACGATTCCTCGAGCGGGCGAAGGATCAGGATCTGGAGCGCCGTGGAACAGCGCCGCTCCCAACACATCCTCCAGAACCGCCCTACAGTCGACTCGCATAGTAAGGATGAGCGACTGTCCAAGTGTACCCTTGCATCCTTCCCCTTCGGCCCATCCTTGGCCGATTTCGCTGGCCACACCCCGCTCGCAAAGCGCCGACATGGCCTTCCAGGGCCCTTGCAGCTTTGTCGCGCGTCTTCATTGTAGGCGTTGGCTGTATCTCCGAGATGCCCGATCTGTCCCTATCCGAGTTTGTCTCCGCCCTGGCTCCGGTAGAGGGAAACAACTACTGAACACTCCCCCTCCCCCCAAGCTCAATGTTGGCACGCGCGGGGGAGACTGCGGTCGAAGTGCATCTCATCAGACTCACCGCCAACTTTGAACATTGGGGGGAGGGGGAGGCGTTAACAGATGAATGTGGCATGAGTGTTCGCTAATTTGTTCCGAGGCCTGTCCATCTCGCTTCTCGGGGCTGATGACGCCGCCGCTGGCGGCATCGTCATGTCCACCTCGCAGGTCGGCGCACGCATCGCCCGCGCGCGCCCCCGCGCACGGTGGGCCGCCCGGGCGCGAGGCGATTTGGGAGCGAGGGGGAGTGGGTGCGTCTAGGCCTCCCAGATGGGGTCGGAGTAGATGGGGTCGGAGGATCGCGCCGCATCGCCGATGCATCGACGATGCCGGCTCGATGCGGAGCCCGATTTTATCCACGCCGACGGCGCCGATCCATTGGCGACGTCGACGGTGCATCGCCGGTGCATCGCCGATGCATCGCCGATGCATCGCCGATGCATCGCGATGTATCGGCGATGCGGCGCCATCCTCCGACCCTATCTACTCCGACCCCATCCAGGAGGCCTCTAGTGCGCCTACTTGCCGATGTGGTGGGCGTCGGTGCACACCACCGTGTCCGTGGAGGTGGCCTCTCGCTGTCGGGGGCCCCTCGGCGCTGCGCCCAGACCTCCCAGATGCCTAAAGCAGCAAAGACGCAGCTGCTTCCCTTGTTTCGGCGCTGGAAGGCCGAGCTCGGGCCTCGGGACAGTCCGTCGACGAGCTGGGGAAACAAAACACGGTCCTCGGGCAGAGGTCGGACGGACTCCGGCCTTCGCGCGCGGGCAGAATGCAGAGCATCCGTGGTCTGGGGACGTGTTCGGTTCTGGCAAAGGGGGGGGAGGAGGGGGGGGAGGAGGGCGAGAGTGTGACCAGGTCACGGGCTTGGAGAGCGACGGATATCGGAGGCCACCTCGGTGCAAGCATGTTGTTTGGAGCCAGACCGAGACGCAGTGGGATGCAACGTGGATGCACGTGCGGTATGCTGTTGACGCGTCCTGGTATCATGATGGCATGGCATAACTATGCCTCCCCATGCCGCCCTCATGTTTCTCTCGCTCGTCTTTCCTCGGGCAGTCCTCGGAGCCAAACATTTCACTCTTCTCTTCTCGGTTGCATCTGTCGCTCCTTGTCTCCTCCAGTCCAGCGAGGCTCCAGCACAAGCGCTGGGTGGCGCAGAGCACGTTGCCCCGCCGCTTCGGATACGCCTTGAAGTGGCTCGACAACCTTGGCTGGGGTGTTATCATTGACCAGGACTCGGGGCCGGTAGTTTGTCCACACGCCTACCGTCAACCATGTTTCCTCTCTCCTCGTCTTCCCTGTCTTCCCCTTTCTGTCCTCTCTCTTCGTCCCCCCTCCTCCCTGTCTTGCCCGTCCTCCCGTCCTCCCTCTCCTCCCTCCTCTTTCCTCGCCCTCCCGCCTCGTCCTCCCTCTCTTCCCTCTTCTCTGTCCTCCCTCTCCCCTCGCCTCGTCTTCCCTTTGCCTTCCCCCCCTGCTCCGCCGCTCACTCCTCAGGGGGAAGGGCGCCCCAGGCTCGCCGCGTGCTGGACCCGTGCAGCGCCGGAGGGCCCCCCCCCCCAGATTGGCACACCCCTCGCGCACCGCCTGCCCGCACGAGTGCCCCATTTGCGGTCCCAGGGGGTACGCTCAAGTCGGGCACCAGGAGGAATATTCAGTTGCTTGTTGTTTTTGTTTAACCAAGAACATTTTATATATACATCTATATGTATAGAGAGAAAGAGAGACATATATGTATACTAGAACCATCGCGCGCGCTTCGCGCGCGCTCAGGTTCTAGCCCAGGCTGGAGGCGCGCTAGAAGATCTTGGACAGCGCTATCAAGCACAGGCGCGTGACATAGTCGTGCCTCCTGAGGGCCTCTTGGGAACCTCTTGGGTCTTCGTGGGGGCATCTGAAGGGCTTCTGGGGGGTTCTCCGTGCTTCCTCAATTGGCTGTTGGAGCCCGGCGGCCCCGGCGGCGTCCCAGGAACGGTCTCAGGTTTTTGGACCGGAGGCCGCATGTAGACGTACATGAAGGTTTCTAGGGAAGCCTCTCAGAAGCCCGCTGGGGCCCTCTTGGGGGTCTCCTGGGGGCTCCCTGGGAACCTCGGGAGGCCTCTTGGAAGCCTCTTGGGGGGCCTCTGGAGGCCCTTTGGGGCCTGCCGCGGGCGTCTTGGGGACCTCTTGGGGCCTCTTGGGGGTCTCTTAGGGGCCTCTTGGGGGCCTCCTGGGGAAGGTTCAGTTGGGTTCCCGTCTTGGGCCCTTCTTGGGGCCCTTCGGGGACGCGTTCGGGCCGTCCTGGGCGCCTCTTGGACTGTCCTGGGCCCCTCTGGGGCCGTCTTGGGGCTCTCTTGTGGGCTTCGTGGGCCGTCTTGGGGCGGTCCAGGGAGAGTCGGAGGTCGTAGAGGACGGTACGAAGGCCAAAAAATCGAATATGGTAAAAATGTAATGTTACGAAGGGAACGGGGCTAATTTTGCTTCCCAGGGCCGTCTGGGGGGATCTCTTCGAGGGGTCTTCGAGCGTCTTGGAGGCGTCTGGGGCGGTTCGAGACGCCTCTTGTGTCGCCGGAGACCGCTGGAGGTTGTCTTCAGGGTGGCGCTAGGCGGCCTGAGGCCTGGGGCCGCCTGGACGGCCGTCTGGGCGCTCCGGGGGCCGACCTGGGGCCCGGCGGGGAGCGGGCTGGGCCCGACGTCCCCCCATTTGTGGTCGGGGCTGCGGCCCCTGGGAGCGGGCTGGGCCCGACGTCCCCCCATTTGTGGTCGAGGCTGCGGCCCCGGGGCCCCCGGGCCCAGTGTGGCGTTATATGTATACACATAAAAGAGTGGGGAGGATTATTTGAGTATTTCGAGTATGTTTGAACCATGTTTGAGCATTGTTTGACTTTTTCTTATTTTTCGTCGACAATCCTCCCTGTAGGGGGACATGCCCGACCTAAGGGTACGCTGACGCCTTGCGCCCGCACCAGGCATGTTGCACCCCCTCGTCCGCTTCCTGCATCACAGGGAGGCCCAGCAACGGCTCTACCCGGCGCGTGCTCACAGATCACCGCACGTCCAGAGTGGCGCACCCCTCGGCGCCTCCGTGCATGTAAGTACCTTGCTCCTACCGGATGCTTCATTCGATGCGGGGCAGGTGGGTGTTTTGTACGCGTTACTTGTGTGACAGGGGCCCTTACATCTCCTCCCCTCTCCTCGTTGTCGTCCCCTCCTGCTCCGTATCCTCCGTATCCTGCCGTGCGTCCGAGGAACAGGACTCGGGCCAGACGAAAGGGGGGGATTGGGAAAGGGGGGGGGTACGAAATCTGCTGCATGCAGCTGGTTTCGGCCCCACCGAGGGGCCCATTCCTCCATACATGACCGCCTCTGGCGCCGGGAGGCGCTGGGAAAATCAGCTACGAGAGCTGATTCTTGACTCAAACCCCCCCTTTGTTGTCCCCCCCTTTCGCCCGGCCCGAAGGACGCATGGGTCCGGCGCGTCGTTGGGATGCTTGTCTGCCAAGACTCCGCCACGCCGTCCCTCACACCCGCTCTCCCCCTGGCGGTCTCACCGTGGCTCCGGCGACAAACTGGTGGCCGGAGGTCGGTGAGACGATGACCCGCCGAGGGGCGAGGAGCGAGGAGGAGCGAGGAGGAGCAAGGAGGAGCGCGGAGGAGCGAGGAGGAGCGCGGAGGAGCGAGGAGGAGGAGGAGGAGGCCCTCGAGCATACTCTGCCGCACGGGGGCGAGGCGTGTGGCCCAGGAGCCTCCTCCTGCCCCTCTCGAGAGGCCATCCGTTGGCCTCGCGGGCCTCGGAGTCCTTATCTTAAGTCGGGCACGCCCCTCTACAGGAGGAAGACCGAAAAATCGTAAGTCGGGCGTGTCCCTCTACACGAGGGAAATTCCAAAACAGTCAAAAAATAGTCGGGGGACGATCTTATGAGTGTTTTGGATTATGTATGGGGCGTTTATTTCTATTAGTTTGCATGTGTCGTCCAAGATCCGCCCGTGGGAGGACACGCCCGACCGAGCCCTGGAGCGTACTCTGCCGCACGGGGGGCGAGGCGTGCGGCCCCAGAGAGCCTCCCCTTTATGCTCCTCCCGCGAGGGGCCACCCGCTGGCCATCCGCGGGCCTCGGAGCCCTCCCGGGCTGCACCCGGACCGTGCCTCGCTCTGAAGCTTTGAGGCGTTGCGTTGTGCTTCTTGCCCCGTTGCTTCTCGTTCTGCACGAGCTGTGCTCCTCTCGCGAGGGGCCATCCGCTGGCCATCCGCGGGGTCCTCGGAGTCCTCCTAGGCTGCACCCGAACCGTGTCTCGCTCTGAAGTGTTAAAAGCGTTGTGTTGTTTCTTGCTCCGTTGCTTCTCGTCCAGCACGAGCTTTGCCTCCCGCGAGGGGCCATCCGCTGGCCTCGCGGGCCTCGGAGCCCTCCTAGGCGCTGCCCCCGAGCCACGTCTTGCTCTGAAAAGTTTTAGAGCTCGGCGGCGCGCCCGGGGGGGGGGGGGGGAAGTGAGAAGGAGAAGGCCTTCTCAGAAGGCGGTCGGACCTCTCAGAAGCCCTCGCGTCCTCTAAGAAGTTCCCTCTGTCTTCGGGGAAGGCTCAGGAAACTGCTCAGGAGGCCTGGGGACTTCCGAGCCTTCTGAGAAGGCCCGCCCCTTCTCGCTTCCCCCCCCGCGCTCGCCGCCAAAAAGCCTTGTGCTTGTTGCTCCTCTTTGGTTTCTCGTTCTGCACGAGCTTTGCTTCTCGCCCTCCACAGAGCTCCCGAAAACGGTGAGGACTCGGTGCCCGGCCGCCGATCTCTCTCCCGGCCCAGCTCCGCCGGCCGCCGGCCGTCGGAGGGCGCCACCTGCCCATGTCCACCAGGCTTAAGTCGGGCGTGTCTCAGGAGGGGACAAAAACACACAGACACAATTTATCGTCGATTCCCCAGAAAATATGCGAAAATATGGGAAGTGCGGGGAAGACAAAAACCCAGAACATATAGGAAAACATGGGGAATCTGTTTATTTGTGTGTATTTATTTGTGTGTCCTGGGGCCCCTTTAGTGTCTAAAGATAGTCAAGAATAGTCTGGGGGGCGATTTGTCGCATTCTGCTTCACTATTTGGGGGTCTTGCGTCAGTCCTCTTTACCTCCCGTCCGAAGTCCGCCTGTGAGGGCACGTGCCCGACCTCACACGGATCCTGGCCGGGCCCGCCCGGAGCCCCGGGACGCCGGTGCCTGCCCGGTTTGCGCACCCGGGTGGCCGTCTGCCGGCGTGCCCTCGAGCGCGCGGCGTTTTCGCGGGGCGCGCGGGGGCCGAGCCTTAGGCGCACGGGGCGTGGTCGTCGCAGCGCACGTGTCGATCGGCAGGCCGCGCACCGGAGGCCACGCTTGGCCAGGGCCACTCCCTGCCTGCACAGCGGGGGCCCACCCCAGGAAACTCGGGGACTCCCAGATGCTTGGTATCGCTCGGACGTGTGCATTTTTCCTTCGGCGAGGACCACCGAGGAGCATCCTAGATCATTTGGCGAAGAAACCACGTACGAAATCAAAAAAAACACAGGGAAGGGACGTCCGAGCGATGGCCAGGATGGGGTTCAGGGTCGGAGGATCGCGCCGCAGCGCCGATGCATCGCCGATGCAGCGGCGATGCACCGGCGATGCACTGTCGACGTGGGCGATGCATCGGCGACGTCGACGTGAGCAAAGCGGGCTCCAAGTCGGGCTCCAAAATTGGCGGTGCGGCGCGATCCCCCGACCCCATCTACTCGGACCCCATCTAGGAGGCCTCGAAAAACACCCTGCTTGTCTCCAGGGTGCCCTGGGTTTCTTGGGTTTCGATGGTCTAGCTGTGGAAGGCGTGGCGCTCCCACACCAAAACTCAGTGGACGTCCTGGGGTCTCAGGGTTGGGTTTCTTTCGGAAGCCGGGCAAGGGCTGCTAAATCCGTGGCTGCTAAAACTGACCTCCGGGAAGTTGTCTTCGTCCTTCCGGGAAGAAGCCCGTTGACTCTTTCGCGTGCCGCGCCTCATTCCGGGAGGTTGCTTTCTCCTTCCGGGAGGGCCGTTTTAGCAGCCACGGTTTTAGCAGCCTTCGCCCAGCTTTCGATTCTTGTGGAAGGTCGCAGTCCTAGAGATTGACACCAACACCAAGATCAGCGATGTGCCTCCACCGAGGGAAGACGATCCCGATCTCGGTGATGGTGGTAATATGTTGTCTTCCAAGGTGACCGAAATATTACCACCAACACCGAAATCTAAGATCATCATCTCCCTGTGGAGGCAAACCCCTGTGCTGCTG